ATATAGAAGATTCGAGTGCCCACATCTTACTAATATTAATGCAAGTCTAGATGGATGGATGTTTGTTAGAGTTTGTAGCCTAAACGGCTGAAAGGATCTAGATGAAATTTGGTATAGATGTAGATGATAGTCTGGAATAACACATAGGCTATTTACTTTTTTTTTAATTCCCAAGGACGCAGTCGCGGGCGAAAGCTACTTTTTGTTATGAAGTGAACGATCGTAGAAACGAAGTGGAAAGTTTACATGAGGTAAATAGTAAGGGCCTGTATTAACTAACACAAAGAAAGGACGTTTGCTATAAACTTGTTAAGGTAAACTAAATTATATCACGCCATTGTATAACAGAGAACAATAGCTTAATGAAGTATAAAGAATAATTACGACTAAGGCTGCGAACTGGAATCGAATAAACAAACGGTGTTTGCGTTATAACGATTAGTGGGAAAGACAAGTGGCGGTATAGGTGAAGGTACAATCGGGGAATTTGGCGATGATCTAAATTAAAAGCTTGTCATTTGAATGTTTTGTCCAGTTTGTTTGAAAACCAAATGTTTTTTTTTAATATCTTACATTACACTCGTCGAAATTATCAAACTACTTGAAAGATATATTGTACATTTGGGTTACGACTTTTATCAGAACTTTTATCTCCAAACAGTAAAGATATTTCATCTAATCTTAATATTATGTATTGATTGACATTTCGTATGTATTTCAATATCAAAATATAATTTCATCATCTCCCCTACCTTATACTACGCCTGTAGTGTCGGCGCACCGGGTTCTCGTCCTCCAAATAACTATGTCATGCGGTATCTCAGTCATCACGTAGTTCTTGTTCATGTCACATTTCATCTCTTTCTAAGTCTAATTAAAATGTAAATTGTGATTTCTTTTATATTTCAATTTAAGTACATATTAGAGTTAGAATTAAATGAAAATAGTTCGCTAAACATACGAATCTTAATTTCACATACGAGAACAAAAGTTTTTTGTCCTACTAAATTTTAAATTTACCACAATACAGACTTTCCATTTATGCATTGTTCTTAACGTAGCCCGAATTAATAGTAGGACGAAATACTAACTGTTCGTTGAAAAACAAGATTATGAATTAGACTTCTTTATTTTATTTATAATTTTATTGTTCTGGCTTCTTTTTACAAATTGCGTCGGAGCGTTTTACAAAATGCGTCGGAGCGGTGGCGGAAATTAGTTGCAGAAGGTGTACAAAGATTATAAAGTATATGCATAGATTATAAAATACCACAGAGTAAGTAAACAAATTAGTGAAGATAAAATAAAAAATAAATTAAACATAGTTCTGAGCGGCGCAAACCCTATTTTTATAAAATACTTACTCAAAATGTACTTCAAAAATAAACTACACGACGATATGCAAACTTGACGCAAATTTTTTATGGCGCTTATAAAAGCTGATAACATAAAGAAGTCATTAATTAATAAAAGCCAGACTAAGATAAAGGAAACGAATTCAAACATCACACATCAAATAATTTGCTACAAGTCACAAAAAACGATAAGAAAAGGCAGCCATAGACGCATTTCTAGCAGTCGACAGTAAAGTTGTCCGTGTACAGCCTTTAGTTTCTCCAGTTAATAAACATCTTACACTTGTAGGTCTTTAGCCTTAACATCTCTTAACCCGGTTTCATTGTAGGAAAAACCTTGACCGCGAACACTTCGCGTTATTCTCAAAGATTTTACAAAGGCAAGAGAATAAAATATTAAAGGAACAAACAAAAACATATTTTCTTTAAGATGAGTTCACACTGCTTAAATGTATAATCATAACATTCTACTCATTATCATTGAGAAAAAGATATTTGCATTCGTAGATTATAATGCATTTTTACTCTCGGTATCATAGTAAGTAAATACGAATTGACAATGTTTGGTATACAATGTACAGTAGCGGGAATCCGCATTGTTCCTAGTACCGAGACAAATTCGTCCTCTTCTTACAAATAATTAGGTAGCATTGATTTGCTCAAACGACAGGATAATTATAAAAAAAACAATAAGCTGCGCACCATTGACCGATCTATTTTAGTACAGATAGCTGCATCATATTGTTTATTGTTGCGTTTGAATGCGTACAAAACATTAAATCGATGAATACTTTTGGGGTGGAACACCGCGAGATTCCCCGATTGTACATACAAGACTATTTAAAACGAAATTATTACTGTTTTCATTGGGGAAATACATGTATAAAATACACAATCTACGAACCTAATAAATCGTCTATTAGTGGAAAGGAAACCGCACATCTAGCAATTGCGGCCACATCTACCCAGGCGGTCAGGTGACAGCAGTAAATATAGACAGAGAATTAAATTCGCTACCCACTATCGTTATACAGCACGACCAGTCACTATATTAATAACGTATGTTACTACAACGGGTTCTGGACATAATCGCATTTTGAACGACATTATCACCGAAATTGATAGGAAAACGTCCTATATGTGAAGCGACACTTTACAAGCGAATGGAAGACGATAAACAGTTTTTGTAATAGTTTTTAAACCTCTTTTTATACATTTTAATCGTCTTTTTAATGTCTGCGTTAAAAATACTTAAGCAATTTAAATGTACATTTCGATAATGACACCTGAAAGGCTGACTTAGTAAGTATAAAAATACGTTTCGAGTTTTGAAAAATCATGAGTACAGCTGTGGGGGTGTAGCGAAAGAGGATCTTTTCCCTACAAATAGGTCCAATTCCTCAACCAAATCTAGTTTACATTCCCATCCTTTCCTTGTACTAAGAGGGACGAGGGAGAGGACTAAAAATAGGGATTTGACACGCACATTTATTAGTCGAAACGAAATTACTTCCACTTGAGACCTATCTTGTATGGTCGACGACCATTGAATGTGGCTATACGACGACCATTGGTCTTGGTATAGCCACATTCAACATGTTATTGCGGGCTCTAACACTGTTAAATCTACGTGTCACATTTAATAAGCCGGAACAATAAAAATTTGTTAAACATTTTAGCAATGAAACCCACGGTTTTGATAGGGATGACGTCACAACGTCTAGGATCCGGTCGCATGTCAATATAAATTCGATGCTTTCTTTAATGTCATTTGACACTAATTTATGTACATAATAAATAGGTTCGCGGGAGAGAAAATGCTTCATTAAGTTATGTCGTTTAAATATTCAGGAGAATGATTTATTTTTAACTTTAGACCGTACTAGCTGTTCCCGTGCGACTTCATCCGCAAGAAATTTTATATTATTGTTTACATTTGTCAAATTATCAATTACAAATGTCAAAATGACATGACATGATGACAAACTTGCTTGCTCAATGTTGGCAGCAACTTATGATCTCTTTCCCATATAAGGTTTTTTGTCCAAAATGTTTACCCCCTAAGTTTTATGGCGTTAAAATAGATAGCCTAAAGCGTGACGCAAGTGTAGGGCTTTTTATTAAAAAAAAATATATTCAAAAAATGCTGTAATTGCTGAGATCTTAGGAAACAAAGAAGTGTGTGTTTACGCTTTATTATAATAGTATAGAAGTATAGATAAGGAATCCTAGTGTTTATAAACGACATTGAATATGACCGAATGATCTGACCGATGGAAGTACCATGAACCAAACACAGACGTAAATTGTATTAAGGTTCCGATGGGTGAGGTACCAAGTGTTCATTTGTTTTCTGCTGAACTCAACTAATTTTATTGAAGGTTTTCAAGATGTTATAAAGATTCTTTTGAATTTACTATTGCGATAACTTCGGCTCGCAAGAGATAAAGATAAATTTGGAGAACTGACCGCCAACCTTCGTTAGTCGGAGAGGCACCTTAAGAAGATTACGATAACTGATTCAGATGATTTACCGGCTTTTAAATTTAGCTTATTCAATCTTCTTTTTAAGGTGACAACTTAATGTGCAGGAAATACCGACTTCGTATACTTTCTTTTAATACATTTCATGCCAATACGAAACAGGAAGTAAACTCGCCGGGGATATCGGTGGCAGTCAACGTTTTAAATCAATTAATTTCCTTTTCTTATACTAATATTATAAATGTGAAAGTTTAGATTGATTAATGGTAGAATGTATATCCTAAACTGCTAAACGAATCTTGGTGAAATTTGACATAAATGTAGCCTATAATCTGGAAGACAACGAAGACAACTGATTTTTTATTACGAACGGACAAAGTCGCAAGCGACAGCTAGTCTAATAAAATTTGAAGTATATAAGAAAAATTTTCAGATATATGGATCTTTTACTAGTCGCAGAAAATATACACTTCTCGGCCTCTACACAATCAAAATCAGTTTATAGATTGACCGTAATAAATTTTAATATAGGTGTCCAAATCGAATAGGTTTATTTTTTATTTGAAATTCGTATAATAATCGCTCTTAACTTCCGCCTGTGACAGCATTTGACTCAATTCTTAAACAACAATAGAATGTCTAACGTTCCAAATGGCAAATTAAAGGTCGACATAAATGTAAAAAAAAAAATTAAATAATAGAGCCAGCCCAATTTTCTAGGAACATTATGAATTCACCAGAAAATAAATTAAACACATACTCAAATTAACGCAAATAAGAGAAGCAAACGAAAACGGACTTATAAATACCATCATTAAGATTACGCATTGTTTCTCCCACTTCGTGAATTCCCTGTTAGCATCTTACAACGCGAGATCACGTTATTCTTAGAAATATTTACAAATAATCGGCCCCGATACAATCCGGTTTTAAAATAATACAACATAACACTAAAATCGTAACCTCTTCAAAAAAGTCCCAGCTTTTATCCCACGCATAAAATATTATGAACAAATTTTAACTCCCAAAGTTATATTTACCACTTAACATCAACTTAACACATGATGCGACGTCGTTACCCGTGAACTAGAGCAAGAAACCATATAAATAAATATTATGCCAAAATATTACTTGCAAGAAAAATATAATTATAACACTTACATGTTAGTAATTGATGCAAAACTCTAATTTTTGATATTTCTATGTTACACTTCACCTTATTTCAACTTTATGTGAATTCTATACCACTATGATTAAGTTTACGAATGATATTTACAACAAGAACGGCAACAACCACCCGCTCAATAACTGGCTGCGGCCATTTTGGTGTTGCCGTTTGAAAAATTACTTATGTCAAAATCATATGACATTATGACGTATACTTATCTTGCGTGAGACAAAATTTTTTTTTTTTTTATTTATTTGCATTACTTTATATAAGTTTTGTTGTAGTAAAAGCAAGTATGTTTCAAAATACTTATTTGAGAAATAACACGAGGAATACAAAATAATGGCAATGATTTTATATAATTTACAGACAACTATTTATTTTATTATCTAAATTTCATTATACCTAATATCAAAGTATTCTGATTAGATGCAGTTATAATGTAAGTGCCGTTATTTAATAATTTCATGATTTATAAACATTGTTTTACTTGGTTTATTTATAAACGGGTTGAAACTGTCCATTTGTATTCATGCGTGAAATGACATTGACAAATGACAACTGTATGTTTGTAAATATACTTAGTTTTTCTGTTAGAAAATCTCCCATTGAAATTCAATTAGTAACAGGTGATATGGCGCATATAGAATTGCATTACGATCTACCGAAAAAGGATTATTAAAAAAAAACACAAACAATGTATAGAGAAGTATTTTTAAAAACTCTTTAAAGTATACTTGGAGTTGAATTGTACAATTTAATTGTCGACCAGAAGATTACATCCAGAATTTTCCACCAACATAGAGCATATATGGCTAAAGTAATGTAGTTAAGTATATCCAGCCAGAACATTTTCTTCTTTGCATACTCTGTACCTTGGAGGCCATCTTTAATTATATATTTCCTAATTCCTATAATCCATACAGTTATAAATTGCTGCATATTAACAGTATCTATGTTGAAATTGAAGATTATTCTGTCCGTATTACACATTTTCTTGTACAATTCTTGCAAATTCTTATCGCAGAAAAACCATTCCCTTTGTATGAAATGTGAGAATAATTTATTAGCTTTGTAGACTTTTTCATATAATTTAACAAATCTGGAAACATAAATATGGAGGTACAGATACAAAAAATTATAATTTTTTTTATTAATATATCTGTATTTATTGCTTTAAATATTATTGTCATTCTAAGGCCATACACATCTTCATTTAAGTTCTGAGCCTACTCTAGATTAGAGTGTTGGCCATAGACAACCATGCTGGTCTGCTGTGGGTTGACTTAAATGTTATCCTTCAAACATAAAAATTGTATTACCATAGACAAAAACAAATAAATTAGCTTACTTTCGCGGCTTTCCCATCAAAAAGCAGATACTGTCAATAATATAAGCAGGTATAAAATGCAATAGCCATGTAAATATCAAGTAAATAGATTCACTCTTTGTCTCTATTGCAAATGGCGACCACACTACTTTTGGACTTGCGAAATTAGGTCCCACATTCCTTACAATGTGAGAATAAGAATCTGAAAATAAGTATTAACAATATTAGTGACTAGCCTGTTGATCGAAACTTTTTCCCCATAAAATAAAAAAAAAATATCCTTTATTACTCATTGATAAAATAGCTATATAATAGTGAAAGAATTTTTTAAATCAGACCAGTAGTTTTTGAGTTATTTCAATACATACTAAAGTACAAATCTTCCCTCGCCTTACAATTAAAAACTTGTATCTTCTTTTGCACGGGGCAAATTTTTCAACAGATCATAAATATTGGAAGTTTGAAAGTTAATAGACTGCAGTGTAGACCAATAAATAATGTACTTATAGCAAAAACAATATGATACATGTTTATGGTAAATCACATATTGACATGCATATTTTATTATAAGAGAAGGGAGTAAACGAGCGGCTGGAACACAGAGGTTGTCAACAACAACATCTGCAAACCAGAGGAACTACAGATTGCCGGCCTATGTGAAATTTGTAGGCTCGCTTCTTGAAGAATGTTTAAAGAAATTAGGTATTAATATTTACCCCATGTTATTGGATTTCTGTTACTTGTTATTGTGTATATTTTAGGTTCGGTTGTTGTTTTCTTTGCTGTGTCCCACGCTGACACGATTATAGCATTGGCGACCATATCAGCAGGAACAATATCCAGTCTCTTTTCCTTATTATTCATAACTATGTGAACTAATCCTAAACCTAGACCTAGAAGAAACTGACGCAAAAGGTTATTAAGTTTAAACACTCGTTAAATTAGGTACAATCGGGGAATCTGGCAGTGTCCTATTTTAAAAGCTACAGTCGCTCTTTCTAAATCTACATATACAGACTCTTGGTCCATACTCTTTTTTGCACAGTTTATATAATTTTTTTCTTTTTTGTTTCGTCTTTGTGCAATCCTGTATTAATGAGTTCCTATGATTTTTTTTCTTTTCTTTTTTCCGTTATTAGTTATACAGCTACAGCCATTTGAATGTTTTGAACTCATTGAGATGACGCTTAATAGTATTTAAAATGTCTACGATAAAAGGTTGGATCGCGATACGTTTATAATTTTTTCATATCTAGTCCTTTACGTAATTCAATGGATTATTGTAAGAGGGGGAGTTTGTTTTGTTTAAAAAATTCTTTATTGTTACCAAATTACAATGTTTATGGAGGAAATTTTTGCGACAGAGCTTCTCCGTCTTAGTGTTACATTTATTAATTTTAAATTGCTAGGAATATACAATATGGAAAGTGGTGCACCGCAGAATTCCTCAACTATACCTGTACAAAGATACTCTAAGTGATCTGAGTGTCGATGTTAGTTATAAGTAAGAAAATTTTGAGATAGTTTGGTATTTTTTACTTACACCTGTAGCTCCATACACACAGCTCATGTCTAACCAGCCAGGAGACGGTTCGGAAAGAGTAGAAATAACTGAAAATTTTGATATTATAAAAATTACTAAACTCATGGACGACGACGCGTCAGGTAAAGATCTCACCTAGTGATGGTTTAACGATACAAATAGGCATATCTTCCGCCATTCTCCGCACCAACTCGTCTGCCAGAGCCTTTGACATCGTATAAGTATTTGGCCAGTCTCCTATGATTCTGAAAGAATAACTGTTGCTCGAAACTTCGCCCAAGTGAAAACAAAAAGTATAGCCTACGTTACTGATAACGTAGCTTCTTAATAGTAAAAGACTTTTTGAAATCGGCCCAGTAGATTTTTGTTATTTCAATATATACAAAAATACAAATCTTTCCTATCATACTAATATTATAACTGCGAAAGTTTAGATGGATGGATGTTTGTAGCCTAAACGACTGAACGGATTTCGATGAAATTTGGTAAAGTTGTAGAGGATAGTCTGGATGAACATATAGGCTACTTACTTTTGTTTTTTTTAATTACACGCGGACGGAGTCGCAGGCGAAAACTAGTTTATAATATTGGTATAGATAAATCTATTCGTTGCGATCTAAAAAGCATTTTTAAATCGTTAACGTAACTCACAATTGACTTGTTGCCTTTAATTTCTCGTCATCCCAAGTCTCAGTTATGTTTATAATAGCTTCGGGTTCACCAGGACTTTCGTAGAATCTTTCACTAATCACACTATCCTCGCTGCTTTTTTTCGCGTGCGTGAAAGCAGTGGAAACGTGTACAAACGCACGCAAGTTTTTACAACATTTGCCCAATTTTAGCACTTCTCTCGTCCCACGAACGTTCGCGAAGATGGCCTCTTTTAAATCACCGTCAAATCTTATGTTCGCCGCCACATGGAATATTATGTCGACCTAAGTAAAATATGAAATAGCAATTTATTCGCGAAAGAGACGTATTTAGTCTCAGAAAAGGACGTTTTTGCAACCTACCTCTTGAACTTTATTCCAATCGTCATTATTCATACCAATGTAACCTTGGCTGAGATCACCTTCAATCGCTATAATTTTATTAACAAAGTCTGGTTGCTTCGTGTGTAATTTACTAAATATCTAAAAATAAAACAATTAACTTAAATATGACGTCAGCGTCGGTTGTTAAAGTTTATTCCAATGAAAAGGAAAAGGCTTTATGAAACAGCCTTAACTGTATTAAGTTTGCCGTTGGACGAAACGGTTAGCGATCAATCGTCTAAACGGGAAACATTCTTTACGGGAGAGAAATAAAAAAAATGACTTACTGGATCCTTGAGAATTTCTGAAAGCCTTGCTTTGGGTTTCATATTTTTCTTAGACCTTATTAAAATGTATATTTTATCGACATTGCAAGCCCTGTAATTATTATTCGATTTACAATAAAACAAATTTTAATTTCCCAATAACAATGAGTGTTAAAGTTTTGTACATTTTAAATCTACACTCGTAGTCAATAAATAGTTCCTTATTGCTATCTTAATCTTTCAGTCGATATTATCCATGTCATGAACAACTAAAAAAAAACTCCTGAACTAATTTATAGAAAAAACATGAAATTTTTATTATAGTGTGTTGGTAACAAATATTTTTTTGCTACAAAAAACTCCGTCGAATTAAACTAAACCTGGATAAGACGTACCTGAAGATTTTCTCAATTATTAATTTGCCAATAAAACCAGAACCACCGGTGATGAATATTTTGGAACAAGTATAAAATCTCTGGATAGGTGAATCACCGCGGGCTATTGCTTCTAGTAAAGGTTCCTGTTTAGAGAGCATCAGTTGCTCTAATTCCAAAGCTGGATCCATGTCTATGGTATTAAGATATACAATTATAATATATTAAGCAGAGGAACTTTAAATTCCGTAGATGACGGCTCTTTGAAAGGAATACACACACATTAAAGGGAACATTCGCATGCAAGCTAGTGCCAGCTGTAGAAATGTATGTATATCTATCTATACTATTATAATAAAGCGTAAACACACACTTCTTTGTTGCCTAAGATGTCAGCAATTACAGCATATTTTTGAATAACTCTTTTTTTAATAAAAACCCGTACACTTATGTCACGCTTTAGGCTACATATTTTTACGCTATTAAACTTAGGGGGTAAATATTATCGATAAAAACTATATTGTGGGAAAGAGACTATAAGTTGCTGCCAACATCAAGGAAGCAAGATTGCCAAGGTTGATATTTGATAAAATGTTATAACAAATGTAACAAATAAAATTTATAAATACCTTTACAAGTTTTCGAGGTAAATTATCGGAAGATTTTATTCGCGATTTCTGTCTGCGATTAATTTATAAATATAAAGAGAATCTCTTCAACTGACCTCTGGCAAATTAATGAATATGGAAGCGGTTAACTTAATTTATTTGAAAACATGTTGACTTACAAAAAAATTATTGCATTGACGTCTTTACTTTTCAAGGAAAATTTATCAAACCGTTAGTTTTGTAGGTATAAATTTTTTTTATTTACTGTACTGGGGTTCTATTCTATCTTTGAAAAACATCAAGTTTTTTTTAGTCATTGAATCATTCAAAGTAAGTAATGTTACATTGTTATGCGACGAGACGATGGGGACATAAACCAGAAAGTGTTAAGAATGAATGTGGCTACAAAGGAAGAGGAAGACCTAGGAAATTATGGATGGATTGTGTGAAAGAGGATATGCTTAAGAAAGGAGTGGATTCAGATATGACGGCTGATAGAGATGTATGAAAGCAGCACATACTGTGCCGACCCTCCGTAAGGGATAAAGGCAAGTGATGAATCATTCAAAGTAAGTAGAGATAGTTATTGTTTAAAATTATTTCTTTAATAAATGTATTCTATATCCGTCACAAAGAGTTAATTTACAAAATAAATTACAAAGGTGACTTTATTCGCTTATACGTATCTCGATGAAACCATTCACGGTAATAATGATAATGGTAATCATTTATTGACAGCTAAGTATTCCCAAGTTCCGGTAATTTATTCGCGGATATTACCAAAACGATATTTCCTTGTGACAATCGGTTTAACCAATATCATTCGTTTCCTTACGTTAGTTTTCAAAAGACGTGTAACGAAAATAATTTAACAATGAAGATTATTTTGGTGCTGTGCTTACTGGTAAAAATCTTACTTATAGTTTGTCTAAATAAGATAGATTAGTTTGATAAATGACGCATATGAAGTATCGAATTCAATTTGTATGAAGGTAAAGCCGTACTTAATAGACAGGTATCGTAGTGACGAAACAAACACGCAGCGAACAATTACAAATGTACTATCGAAATTTATCGAACTTAACTTAAATTATTATTTTATTATTAACTAATTTAGATGACAATTCTAGTATTGATTATGTATTAGAGAATTTAGCGATAACAGAAATAATAGCGAAATCCAATTCGATTACGTACGGCTGTAGTAGTAATAAATGTTTATTTACTCTCATTATTTGTTTTGGTCATTATTAATTTGAGAAAACAGTATTTTTTTTATTCATAAGTTATAACTATAAATCTATCGATTCCAATTTCTATAAGAATAAAAATCGAAAATCGATAACATTCATGTGACTTTACACAACCCATCCCTACTAAATTTGAAATGTCAAACTAATCTAAATTATTTAGACACACTATAACTAACAAAGGATTAATATTTTTGCATATTTCTATTTTTAGCCTCAACTGCTAATCCAGTTTAAAGAAATATTTAGAAAAAATTACTACTTGCTTTACATAAACATATTTAAATATGTTGAAGCTAATTCACTTCCGCATTCGTTAGACCGTAAAATTTTCTACAGTTAAACTGAGTAGTCTCGCGACTGGTCGCAAGTTGCTGCTTTTTTACAAGGAAACGCGGCCTCGGAAAGAGGGTTTAAGCCGCTAATCTTCCATCGCCGATGTATCGATTGGGTTTTGTTCCAGATGCTGTCATCTGCATTCGCTTCTTCCCCAGATCTGGGAGTGGCGTACAGTAACCATGCGTTTAGTTTAGAGGTACGTTGTACTTTAAAATAACATAAATAGAATAACACTACGTAAGCAAAGAAAGCAAAAAGACCCCAAATTTCATCACACGATTTTTAGCTAAACTATTTAACTACGTCTTTGACTCCAAAAATCAAACAAAAAATGGGACCCAACTGCAAACACTACTTTTCGGTTAAAAAAAGAATTATCAAAATCGGTCCACTAGCGGCGGAATTATGCCGTGACACACAAAAATAAAATAAAACATACAGACGAATTGAGTACTTAGTAGTCTTTTGGGAAGTCGGTCAAAAATGATTCAATGAGCGACGATCTTTATTATCACTAGAGTAGACTACTACTGCGTTGTTGTAGTCTATGGTGTAGTTTATGAGTGCAAAATCTATATAGTTAGTCTGGTTGATAAGTTTTTATTAAAACTGATGTTTTTTACAGTATAATTACCCGAATTCAAGTCAGTCGTCGAAAGTAAGTATTTGTTTGTTTAGAAATAACGCTTAGGCGGACTGCTTTAAACAGTCTGCAGTTAAGGTACACTGTAAACGAACTAGAATTAGTCGCCGCTATATAGCGACTATACATAAATAAATTATTATAGTTTTCGCCTGCGGCTCCGTCCGGAATTTAACAAAAACTTAGTAAGTATTAGATGTATTCTTCCAGACTCCTATCTCTATGCCAAATTTCATCAAGATCCGTTCAGCAGTTTAGGCTACAAACTCTAACAATCATCCTTGTATTTCGCTTTCATAATGTAAGTAAGATTTAGAGTGTGCGTACACCTAAAACTAAACTATCGCACAACTGTTTAGTCGCGCTGTCATTCCTATGACCTAATATAGATGTGCGCACACTACTCGATTTTTTGTTGTGCAACTAAACAGTTGAATGGATTGAAACAATCGACAATCGCACAACAGTTGTGCGACAGTTTAATCAAAGGTGTGTCCGCTCTAAATAAATATAAACGCGTCATAATCTCCAAGATCGGCAGGCGGGTTGGTGATCGCAGAATTTCCATCGAATCCCCCCACCCTTAACGACTACAATAGACTTATTTTTTTGCAGGGTGCAGAATCAGGCAGCAAGAAGCCTGGAAAATCGTAGCCTTTGAATTTCTATGTCTACTCCAATATCAAGTGAAAATGTTTGTACATCTAATAAACATCTCAAAATAATTTTGTTTAATTCTTTCAGCTAAAAATCTTTTACGCTATTTTAAAGTAAACAATCATATGAACAAGCTCCAAGCTCGTGCTTGGTTATATGCGTTAATTGATTGGGGGAAATTGAAGCGAACTGTGTCGTCTACTACTAACCATTAGGCTGTCATTTATATCTTAAAAGAAATAGAGTATTCAGTAATTAAAAGAAATGTAATATCAGTATCGTAGCTATTTGAATTAATCGTTTAATTTAAATCTAGCTTTCGCCCGCCACACCGTCCACATGGAATTAAAAAAAACAATAATAACTATACTATGTGTTCTTCCAGACTATACTATAGATCTATGCCAAATTTCATAGAGATCCATTCAGCCGTTTAGGCTACAAACTCTAACATCCATCCATCCGTCTAATCTTTTGCATTTATAATATTAGTAAGATTATAAAGTGGAAAGATTTGTATTTTTGTATGTATTTAATTCACGTAAAAACTGCTGGGCCGATTTAAAAAATTCTTTCACCATTAGGAAGGCGAGTAACAAAGGCTATGTTTTTTTTTTAAATTCGGACAAAATCGCGAGCAACAGCTTGTTTAAAAATAAATAAACTTCTTCAAGGCATTTATTAACATTTCCGTAAAAAGAGTAAAAAAAAGGCATGAATAGAACTTGATTGCAGTTCCCTTTGAATCGCTTTTTAAAAAGGATCAGTGATGTAACGACATTTCATGGTATTCTTTAGAGCCTGCGCACACTTGAAACTAAACTATCGCAGAACTGTTTAGTCGCGCTTTGATTCCTATGACGTCATATGGAGGTGCGCAGTCTACACGATTTTTAGATTAGCAACTAAACTTTTGCGCTGCGGAATCGACTATCGCACAACCGTTGTGCGAGAGTTTGGTCAATGGTGTGACTAAATATTTAAGTGATTATTTTTTCTCATGATATATTTAACACGTGACAATCAAGGTACCATTCATATTAGAATCAGAGTTATGTTAGTTGTAATTTTTTTTTCCTTCATCATCTCTTTAAGTAATTTTAAATTATAAAAGTAAAGTATCCAATCATACTAAACATACTTAATATTATAAATGAGAAAGTTTAGATGGATGGATGGATGTTTGTTAGAGTTTGTAGCCTAAACGGCTGAACGGATTTCGATGAAATTTGGCATAGACGTAGAGGTCAGTCTGGAAGAACACATAAGCTACTCGGTTTTGTTTTTTTTCTTAATCTACGCGGACAGAGTCGCGGAAGAAAGCTAGTTAAACCTATAATAAAAAGATTATCTATTCTTATAATAATCCAAATGGAAACTCTTTTCAGTCTGGCAATACGAGAACCTGAAAGTATAGATTTTATACAAATTACTAACTCGTTTCTAATAAAAACAAAAGCCACCCGCATTAAGGGGATTAAAACAACTAGATAATATAAATAACTTACTAATACGAAAAGTTTTTTTAATGAATATTAATATTTTGCATCGCTCAGACGTGGGCAAGAGTTTGTTTGTTTTCGTTCATTATTAAAACACTCATCCAACCATAATTCGTTCTTTAACTAAGGACTTTCTATCTATAAAGGGTACTCTGTAAATTAAATTAATGAACCTTTTGTGTTATATAAAGCTGTAATACATAAGCCACTAAAACTATTAATGCCAGTTCACGAGAACACATATCAGTCTAGATTTGTAAACTCTCGGCCTCTCCCGTAACTTTCTAGTCATCATCACCTCACTATACGTCCCCACTGAGGGGCTCGAATTCTATCCTAAGTTAGGATGTCTAAGCCATAGTTACCCATACTGGCCTACGGCGGGTTAACTTCAACATATTATCTTTAAATTTCTTCGCCGATATGTGCATCACGATGGTTTCCTTTATCGTAAGAACGTCGAATCGAAAATCACATTGGTACACAAGACCTGTAGTTTACAAGTGCCGTACCCCTGAGTCACAGAAGCTCTTTAACTTTCTAGAAACAGTCACAAGAACAAATGGGGTGCCATCTACTTTTATACCAGTTACATGCTAATTAGCGTACACACATGCTTGTAACTGGCACGTACAAGTATAGGCTTCTGAATGTATTCCCGCCTTAAGAGTTACAAAATTTGACAGCAACAGACCAGTTATGATTTTTGTTATTATGTCGAACTAAATTTAGGACCAATATACGAACTCGATATTCGGTGGCAGGGCTTTAAGCACTTGACTTGTAATCTACAGGTCTTGGGTTCGAATCCCTCTGTACTAATGTGATTTTCGAATTTCTTACGGTTACCCGACGTACTTACGGTGAAACATCGTAATGAAACCTGCACAAATCGGCAAAGAAATTCAAAGATATATGTAAAGTCCACCAACCCGCAGTGTAGCCTGGTTGACTGGCCTAGTCACTCCTTACGTAGGGTAGGCACCAAGCCCCTCATTGGGGACATATAAGGAGCTTGTGATAATACGAACTTAAGTCGATAGGCAATAAATACAGTCCTAAGGGGTAAGACCCTGCTTTAAAATTGCCTTCATTTGGAAAACTAAATATAAGGCTACACTGTTTTCTGTATCTAAACTGAAGGTTTATTATGTATATGTTCTAGAGTGGTGTTTTAAATTTTTTATGTGATTATTATTTTAACTGCTTTAATGAGTAAGTAATAGACCAAAATAAATCAATTTTATCTATGCATTTCCTGTAATAATTTCCACGTGCACGATTGAAAGCAGTACGCGTCTAATAAAATGAAGCCTAGGCAGTATCTCAAATATAAAGAGTAGAAATATGTCTTAAGGCTTTGAAGGGCAATAAAATTAATATATAATTAAACGAAGAAGACTTATTGGATAGTTTTCAAAGATCGTAGAGTATTTTAAAACTGCAAGTTACTCTTGTATTTGAATTGGAATAGAATTAAACAATTATGGTCTTTTCAATTTTATTGCTTCGTACATTTATATAACTTAACTAGCTGTTGCCCACGACTTCGTCCGCGTGGTATTAGAAAACATACGAACTGTATAAATAACAAAAAAGCTACGTATCCCTCGGAAACCGGATACTTCTCGGGGATGAATCTTATCCCAAGTGTGATTCAGACTTTGGTAAATATCTATGTCAAACTTCAATCAGATATGTTGAACCGTTGCAGAATAATCGAGTAAACATTAAAAAACTAAATTAATGAATACCACGGGAACCGTAACTATTCTCGTGACAAAAAGTAGCCTATGTGTTCTTACAGACTATGCTCTAAACCTGTGTCAAATTTCATGGAGATCCGTTCAGCCGTTTAAGTTACAAACGCTAACAAACATCCATCCATCCATCGTAATTTTCGCATTTATAATATTCATATGAATACGATATGATTAGTTTAATAAATTTCATGTATGCTTACTCGTAAGTTAATCAAAATGCATACAAATGTATCATATCGTAGATAACCTTTCGGCTTTTAATATATGGCATGTTATTTCTAAATTTAATGATGCGAAAAGTATGTCAAAAAGATACAAAATTAACTCACGCCGTATTCTAGAGGGGTGGGCAGAGATTACCAAGTTACACTGGCACATCTAAATTGCTACAATAATTTTATACCAGACTTCCGCCAGACTCCGTCCTTGTGAAATTAAAAAACAAAGGTGTTCTTCCCGACTATCCTCTACATCTATGCCAAATTTCATCAGGTTCCGTTCAGCAGTTTAGGCTACAAACTAGCAAACATCCATCCACCATTTATTATATTAATAGTAAGATAACTCAGTAATATAGAAGCTTTCTTATGACTAAATATTTTTATAAACCGGTTTACTAGTTTTTTAGTTTATACAGAAATACAAATATTTCCTCTTTACACTAGTTGTAGATTATTTGTTGTTTATTAGGTTAATATATCCTAATTAATTAATAACTTTGTGTCATGTTTTCTTTTTCTTAATTCTATTGTGTTATTAAGTATTCATACACATACTTTCCAACACACCCAAACATATACACACTCGACTGGAACAACGCTCCAAAACAAAAAAACTTGTATGTAATTTTTCTCTTTTCTGTTAATTTCATTATAATTATTGTAATGTTTTTCGTTGTGGTTTTTGTTTAGACACGTAGGAATGTGTATTGCTCTTAACAAAACGGGAAAGGGATTGGCTCCTACAGCACAGGGGAACCTAGTGCAGGAGCCCAGGATCTCATGAAATGTATATTTTCAAAAGTAAAATAATAAACCCATTGCTTATTTATTATTAATAAGTACGTAAATGAATATGTCAATCATGTTTCTATTTAATGTAAAAATACCTTAATAATAATTTCCGTAACATTAAAAGCTACAACCCCTCTGAAAAGTGGCTTACAAAAGTCGTAATTGAACTTTGCTAGGGACGTTTTTCTAGGAAAATGTCATTGCGTTAGTTGTGGCCAGGTGTCCGCAGGGTGTGGAGGGGCAGTGGGAGGGGTCCTGGTGGGAGGGAACACGGGACATATAAGGCAGGTTCTTACGGCGGATACTGCAGAACCAGCCTCGGTGTTGCACACTCCTGGAGATAGACAGGTAAGTTTTGTAATGTAAGATTTTTTTTATCTTTTTGATTTTTAATTAAATTGTCGATGTGTATATTATTATTACTTTACTTATATAGATGAAAGTTTAAAGTGTAATTTAAAACGGCTTTAATATTTATTAAAAAAAAAACTTTTTGGAACCAGAAAAAAATTTAATTCACAAGTGTCATTTAGTTATATTTCGATTATTCAATGGATTTTTAAAATGAAATTAGAATTCTATGCGTTATAAATGAGTCTTGAAAACCACTTTTAGTTCAGTTAATTTAAAAAAAAAAATTAAGGCCGGAAAGAAAACTAGCAGTTAGTAGTGGAAAATTATTTAAAACCCTTACATACAGCGCGTTGAAATCTTTTGCAGTACAATTGTAATCCATTTATTTGATTGATTGTTTTTTGACACATAAAAGGATTTATTATTAAAAATCTACAAGAAAACTTTTATACAACACTAACTGTTGCTCGCGATTCCGCACGCGTAAATTAAAAAAATACAGCCTATGTTACTGATAACGTAGCTTTTTAATGTTGAAAGAATTTTTGAAATCATTAGTTTTTGAGTTATTTCAATACATACAAAAACACAAATCTTTCCTTTATTATATTAGTATAAGATAAAGATAGCTTGACGGCTATTACATTAGCATTATTTCACGTTTTAAATTAACAATTAGATCAAAAAAAAAATCTACTTAGTTGATTTTAAAATACTTTACACCATTACCTATAAAAATAACCTAATTTATTGGACATAATAACTTTTTCTCTCACAAATCCGGTCGAGATATTAATAGCCTGTCCCACCACTAGCTGATAGAGTCTCAGATAGCTTAAAATTACGTCACTGTCAGATAAGGAAACAATCCGATATATCCATCACATATTTTACACGTTGAATTGTTATCAGACAATTTACAATTTGGTGGGACAGGACCTTAAAGTTTTTTTTCTAATTTTAACACTTAAAACCCTACAAATTGATTTTATTTAGATAAAATATAAATCAAAAGTCTTTTAACTATTTTATCGAAATAATATGAATTTCATACTTGAAAATTTTTATTGAGTTATCTAGACAATAGGTAGCCATTGTAACTTATAGATAAACGATCGCGGTCGAAAATCTAATAATGATAAAATCAGTGTAATCAGTACTTGTTAACTTAAGTGAGCGTTAAGTGAGGCCGTAACTTAGTTTAATTAAACATATCGCTTATCGCTGATAGTAATGTCAAGTTAAAATATACTACGGTCTAGTGCTAATCTTGCTAACATTATAAATGCGAAAGTTTAGATTGAAGTTTGTAGCCTAAACTACTGAACGAATCTCGATAAAAGGCGTAGATGTAGAGAAAGATATAGGTTGCTTTTCTCAGACTATCCTCTACATGTATGCTAAATTTCATCGAAATTAGTTCAGCCGTTTAGGCTACAAACTCTAGCAAACATCCATCTAAACTTTCGCATTTAAATATAGTTAAGTAAGATTGTTAAGACCGGTTTTGTTGTAATAAAAATATTGTTTCATTTATTTTAAAACGATAGCTTTAATACAAATGTTAGTTTTGTCTATAATTAAATAGTGAAAGACGATTTATTTGCTACTATTTGTTAGCTTTCGCCCGCGACTCCGTCCGCGTTGAATTAAAAAGACTACCCTCTACGTCTATGCCAAATTTCAGCGAGATCCGTTCAGCTGTTTAGGCTACAAACTCAAACATCCATCTAAACTTTCGCATTTATAATATTAGTAAGCAGTAAGATTGCACCAAAAGTGACAAAAGTCTATAGCTACGAATACAATTTTCAATTTGGATAATTTGTTGAATCCTTAACGAGGAAATCTTGCGACTACAGTTGAACAAAACCAAACCTTACTACTTTATAATAAGGTTTAAATACCTTCGTTTAATCATTGTTAGTAGAGTAATAAAGTGGTATAGGATTTTTCCGTAAGCTTCGCCGGTCGACTTCCTTCCGTTTGCAGCTTCCTTGCTTGTTTCCTGATTACAGGTCCCTTTTTAAATCTCTTAACTTTAAAGAGAAATACTCAAGTCATCTTAATACTATAAACGATAGAGCGGGCGTACATCTTTCACGAAATTTTTTGTTGTGCGATTGTCGATTGTTTCTCAGCCAATTCGACTGTTTAGTTGCACTGTTGAAGTTACTGGCAACTAGCAACGTGAGACAAATGAAGAATAAAAGAAAATATAAAGAATATCAGAGAGATTCGAATTTCCTTTTTTTATAGATTAAAAACGTGCGCACACCTGAAACTAAACTATCGCACAACTGTTTAGTCTTGCTTTTATTGCTATGAGCTTTTTTTTTCTTTATAATATTAGGTGACAAAGGAGCAAGCGGCCACCTGATTCCATCGAAATGGAAAGCGACCGCTGCCCATAGACATCCGCAATTGCAGATGCGTTGCCTACCATTAATTGACGGAGGAGGAGACACACATAAAGCGGACATTTCCCCTTCCTATGCGTCTTCTCCCCCATCAAATCCACTTTTCCCATCAATTCCACTTAAGAAATGGGTGGAAATGGAAAGGGACTAAAATTAGGCCTCTGGCACCTCACTCATCAGACGAAACGCGGAATTGCTTCCATTTCACGTCTGTTTTCTGTGTGGTCATGGTATTCCACCGGGTGAGCCGGCCCAATCGTGCGTTTTAAAACGGGCTCTACCGCTGTTGAAATGAATTAATTTCGATTAAAAATGTTGTTTTGTTTGCTTAGGTTATTTCTCGTAGAATAATATGCAAATCATAAACATGCAGGAAACTCAAAGTAAAAGTTCATGTACTGACCGCTATATTATTTTAATTTAGTTTTTAATTAGTTGTACATTATTAAATCAGTTCCGAACTATCCTCTACATCTTTGCCAAATTTCATCGAGATGTTACCTGTTAGTCTACAAACATCCAGAAGGCATGGCGACTCAACCGCCCCGTAATCCCGAAATTAGGTTACTGGTGCTTGCCCCTCTCTTTTCACGCGGTCGCGTTGTAACTTCGCGTCGAAAAGGGAGCATTAAGGGCTGGCCTCAGTTGGGTGTGGGTTTGGCCCAGCTTATCAAAAATAAGCAGCGACGAAAGCAATACGGTGCAAAGGGTACCTGTGCGTTCCACTGGAGATCCCGGGATCCTCAATTCGCACCTGAAGGCGGCCACCGAGGGGGTTTTTAGTGAGAGTAGTCTACAAAAATCCAACGATTCAAACTTTCGCATTTATGATGTTAGTAAAATTCGAGACTTATATATTTAGGTATTTATTGTGATTCCAAGAAAAACTCAACATTTTGTACTGTGTTAGAGCATTTTAATAATTATTTAAATATACAGGAGCATTTTTAACTAACTTTTACTATTCCATTTATTTAGTGGTCGGTATTAGGTGACGCAAAAACGGTATTAGGTACACACCCTATCGCTTGGGTCGGTAATAGGGACATTTCCCCTTTTCCTTTTATTTAATTTTTAATCTTTTAAATAATCCTTAGTATAACTAGTTCTATACATGACTAAAAAGATCGATTTCACGACTCGAAAAAACTATTTTCATTGGACATCAATCGAATATCGTGCATATTTTGGACATCAATCTGAATAATGCTTTAACTGGCGGTAATAGGTGCGTTTACGTTACAAATTCACACAAGTTATCCCTTCACTAGTACTTTCATTAACCAAATGCTAATTAAGTTACAAAGTTTCCCTATCAAAGGTATGTTTTATTTGTAAACGAAAAGTTTTTAATATAATCATGTTACTGTAGATACCTTTGTTATACTGTGTATAAATTCAAGCACGTATTCATAATTGTTGCGAAATAACGTTTTACAATGTTCTGTCGACTAATCATTTTGTATAAAGGGACACTACTAATTAACAAATTTAAAGTTTTAAAACACCTCGAAAATTTTAACTCGTTAAAGCCCAATACATACGTTTATATCTAACGATACTGTTGTGACTGAATAGCCACTGTTTGCCTTGAAGAGATATCTACAGATTCACCGGGCTTGAGGTGGCCGAGCGCAGGTGACGCTTAGTCTAAACCTGTTGAACTGACTTATAGTCTGATACATTTTTCTACACACTGTCTTAGAGCGGGCGCACACGTTGACACAATCTTACAACTGATGCGCGATTGTCGATTGTTTCGCAGCTCATCCAACAATTTAGTTGGACAACTAAAACCGAGTATACGCACCATATAAGCACTTAGGAATCAAATCTCTACTACAATTGTGCGATTCTTCGATTGTGTTCTTAAACTGAACAGTTCAACTCAATTTTTTTTATAACATAAGGTGGCAAACGAGCAATCGGCCAACTGAAACCGCCAAAATGGCGAAGCGACCGCTGCCCATAGACACCCGCAATTGCAGATGCGTTGCCTACCCTTATACGACGGAGGAGGAGACGCACATAAAGAGGATATTTCCCCTTTCTATGCATCTCCCCCACTGTCAAATCCACTTCCTCTTCCCAACTTCTCATATAAGAAAAGAGTGGTAAAGAGAAAGGTACTTAAATTAGGCCTCCGGCACCAAACTCATCAGACGAAACACGGAATTGCTTCCATTTCACGCCTTCTTCTGTGTTTGTCTGTTAATATTCCAGGAAACAATTGCTAGTACAAGTATTGCACACAGTGTGTGGCGCTACTTGCAGCGGGTACTGAAGCGACAGCGGGATGTGGCGGTGCGCTTGCGCATTGGCGCTGCTGTGCGCGGCACTCGCGCGCACTGATACCTATAAACGAGCTGAATGTAAGGACGTTTATGACTATAAACTATTCAATGCTTATGTATCAAAGCCTCTTTATATATACTAACTTTTGTCCGCGACTCTGTCTGCGTGGAATTAAAAAACAATAGTAAATAGCCTAAGTGTTCTTTCAGATTTTGTCTACATCTAAACCAAATCTCATCGAAATCCGGTTAGCAGTTTAGGGTTACAAACTCAAACATACTTCTATACTTTCGCATTTATAATATTAGTAAGGTTTATTGTATGGTTTTCTCGCTGCCAGTAGCGACGGCTCCCTTCGTGCTGGGTTCTCGCTACGGTCGTTCCTCTCCGCGCATGATCGCACCACGCAACGACAGGTAACATTCCAATATTAGGTATACTGAAAATTTTGTTAAAACGTTCTTAGTAGCGACGCATGTTGATAGACTTCGTGTAATATCTTATATTAAATATGGAAAATACAATATCTGGCACATGTATACGGTACTGACATGTGTAAATTCATGGTTCCAGTAACAGGCATGCCTAACTGGCACACCCATTACACATTACACTACACCATTTAACTGGCATGTGCATTTCTCCTTATTTGCTATCTTTAATTTGAAGTTTAACTACGAGTAGTTAATAGCTTATTTGTTTACATAGAAAAACAATTAAAAATTAGATACTACAAAATCCGTAGCATCCGTAGCTTGTCTATAGAACACTTACCTTCACAGGTTCTTTATGGGCAGTAGATACGGCAAGCGGTCGGAGATAGCCCGTACTCTGACCCCACACGATATGACATGGCGTGACGCGTCACAAGATGTAACGTCGAAGGATGGAACATGGCAAGATGTAACGTGGCGGAAATTGGCGCATTTATGTGAACTGCAAGTTTTCGCACCGCTCTGCTCGCGACAACCTTCCAAACTTCTATATAATAGGTATGTTTTAATCTATACTCATATTATAAAGAGGAAAGATTTGTACTTTTGTATGTATTGAAATAACTTAAAAACAACTGGGCAGATTTTAAAAATTCTTTCACGAATAGAAAGGTAATATACAGGTAAAGAGATAAGTAAAAGTAGTCTTAAAAAATTGGTGAATATTTTGAAGACATAAGAAGTGTTGTATTATTTACTAGTATTGTTAAGAAGAGCTATATTTATTACCGTATATTAAGAACTAGCTTTGGACCACATGATATAAAAAAAACAAAAGCATATAGCCTATGTGTTCTTCCAGATTATCCTCTACATCTATGCTAAATTTCATCGAGCGTTCAGCAGTTTAGGCTACAAACTCTAACAAACATCTATCCATCAAAACTTTCGCGTTTATAATGTTAGTAAGATAAAGTAAAATTTACATCCAAGCAAACTTTAGACAGAGTACTAACAACTATGAGAGGAGAGGAATCAATTCGTCGGAGTTTTCCTTCTAGAAAGTGATAGACATATAAATTGACTAACTCTTGTTACAGAATAGACCAAGAGCCAGTGGAGAAAATGGACTATAAAGATTAATTGCATCGTGAACACGACCCACATCGCACACCGAACACATTGGAACTGAATTAACTATTATAATTATTCTATAGATAATTACTCTCTAGAAGGTGATGGAACGAACAGACAGGATTAATGTTATCCTTTTTTGTTCCTTTTCATTTTATAAACCCAATATGTAATGTATATTTTAAACGAAACAGGTTAAGGCTGGTAACTTGTTTCGTAAATTTGGTGTAGAAACTATAAAACTCCTCTAATAATCTGTCTCTGTCTTTTAATAGAGAATGAGGGAAAGAGAGTATTTTACAAGTTTCATAACCAACCCTTTATAGATTGATGCTAGTCACATAATTATTGTATTTATTAATTATAATGCTTCTAAAAATAAATGGTAATAAAACTGTTAATTGTTTTTCTTTTGTGGCACTTCCTGTATTCATTCACAAAGTATATGTAAACTAAAGGAAATTTAAGCTAAGAGGGTAATTAACTTACATGAGACGAAATTTGCCTGCAGTCATTTGTAAATGTCATAAAAAACCAAGATTTAAAATTCATTATTACTAAGATGTTATTTACATTAACATGAAGTACATAGAAATAATAAGAGTTAATTAGTAAGCAATATTAATTATTTAGCAACGTAGGACTCACACTAGGTGCTCTAGGGTTTGAACTGAGGAGTTTAGTGGGTATACCCCACTATGGGGAGAGTCCCACATAACTCTCGTGCCTGTGCCAAGGACACGGTGTCCGGAGTACGCGTAAAGCATTCCCCTCTGGGAAAAAAGATGCTCTAGAGTTTCTAAATTACGCTGACTATTCTATAACAATGACTGTGATGGACAGCTTGCAATCTCAGAAACAATTACTCTCGCACTGTCCTTATCACAACTTTCTACCGACGAAGTACTAACAAAATAACGTAAATTGGGTTATATCTATCTTTGGGCTTTAACAACTGAAGTAACCATAACCCTTTTTTTGGCTTCTTCGTCAATATTCGTATAACTCTCTCATGATAAAGATTATAAAATGACTTACATCTTTCGATCGACGGATCTCTGTCTATAATTACTGTGTGTTGTTTATAGCAATGTATTGTTTAGACAGAGTACTCGTAAATAAGGAAACATCTCTACAATTGGTATAAGATATTTAGATATAGTATATTTGGAAGCAAGAAATTATCCCTTAAAGTTTGTCCTGCCCTCTGGCGGCGACGGTCTACAAACATTCAATGGAAATATTTAAGCAAAGGACAAACTCTTTACGCGGCAGACACTCACACCGTAGCGAAGCAACTTACAAAAAATAAAAAAAAACAAATGTTTTATTAACAATGTTAATTTCGGATTCTCCTATAACTGCGTATTTTTTGAAAAAATATTTATTTTAAGTGCTTAATTATAAAATGATTTTTTTTCCTATGTAAAGATTGATATATATGATTTTTTATAAAGCTTATTTTAGTATAGTAACGAATAACTTGATTATTAATATTCATATTAACCTATACAGAAGACAGTATATTATACTAATATTATAAATGCGAAAGTTTAGATGGATGGATGGATGTTTGTTAGATTTTGTAGACTAAACGTCAGAATTTTGATGAAATTTGGTTCAGAAGTAGACGATAGTCTGGAAGAATACATAGGCTACTCACTTTTGTCTTTGTTTTTTTAATTCACGCGGGCGAAAGCTAGTAGAATAACAAAATTACAATTTCTTAAGAAATAACGGTGTAAATATAGCCCTGTCTATCTCCCTTGGGCGTTTGTATAGTCACATAAAACAATCAGAGTCCCATCTATTTGTGATTCGAGTGTCTATTTTATTGACACAAATTAAATAAAAATCTACGTTAAAAAAACATTGAAATTTCACGATACAATCAAATATCTAAAAGAAAGTTAATTGCTTATGCTTTGACTTGAATAGAAAGTCATAACGTTTACGAACATTTGATTTGACATTAAAACTAAGAACCCCTCTAGACTCGACTTTCATGTACTTTTTTTTATAATATAAGGAGGCAAACGAGAAAGCGGCCACCTGAATCCACCGAAATGGAAAGCGACCGCTGCCCATAAACATCTGCAATTGCAGATGCGTTGCCTACCCTTCATTGACGGAGGAGACGTACATAAAGAGGTTATTTCCCCTTCCTATGCATCTCCTCTACCGTCAAATCCACTTTTCCTTTCCATCCTTTCGCGCGGAATTGCTTCCACTTCACGCCTGTCTTCTGTGTGGTCGCGGTATTACACTGGGCGAACCGACCCTACAGTGTGAAGATATTAAAGCGGGCTCTACCACTGTTGACTAAAGTATAGCACAACTATTTAGTCTCCATTTGATTCCTATGAGGTTCCACTTATACGAGTATAGAGGTGCGCACACTACTCGATTGTTAGTTGCACAAAAACAATTGAATTGGCTGCGAAACAATCGACAATCGCACAATAATGTGCAACTATTTAGTCAAAGCATACTCCAAAAGTAACTAATTTAACGTAACTAGAGAATTCAGCAACCAAGGAAAATTATGTAATTTATTAAATTTTTTTAAATCGAAAAATCTAGGTAGATTCGATAGGAATTCCTCGCCATCTTTTCTTAGGATTTTTACAAGATGCTGGATGCCCAAGTATTCTTTCCATTCTTATGTAATACATGAATTGAAATTTACTATTTATCATTTTCTTCCATACAAAATGTAAGGGAACAAAATATCTTACTATATTTTGGGTTAACTGCGAACGTTTAAATAAATGCGAAAGTTTAGATAGTTGGATGTTTGTTAGTTTGTAGTCTAAACGGCTGAAGGGATCTTGATAAAATTTGGCATAGACGTAAAGGGTAGTCTGGTGAAACGCATAGGCTAAATTGTTTTTTTTTTTAAAATAAATTTACTGGTAAAAACACGAAATAACGCAATATTTAGTACATATTTCTCGTTACTATTGTTGTTAGCGTCGAATATTATGACATTGATGCAATGTTACATGTCAAGATATATTATATCTTTTATATATAAGTGTCACAAGCAGTATTGTAAGAGATCGTTCATAGTAACATATCGTTTGCGATCGTAGTGGAGTCAGGACACAGGTGATTGTCCACTTACGTGATAAGTAGCGTAAAAATATAGCGCGAAACTTGTAACTTCGACCTTTCTGAAGTTAATTAAAAAGTCGATCTGTTTTTGATAACAACCATATACTTATTAGTAGTTTTACAAACTGTTGGCCGCGACTTCTCCCGCTTAAAATTAAACAGCAATAAAATATAGCCTATTACTGATAACGTAGCTTTTTAATGGTGTATTTTTGAAAACGGTCCATTAGTTTTTGAGTTATTTCAATACATAATTACAAATGTTTCCTCTTTATAATATTAGTATAAATTGAAAAACAACTTGAAAAGTGAATTGTATTCTTTTAAACTATTTTCTATAGGTTAAATTTCATCGAGATCCGTTCAGCAGTTTAGGCTACAAACTCTAACAAACATCCATCTATCCATCCAAACATTCACATTAATAAAAATAAGATAGTAAAAGTAAGATTATAAAGCCTATATTAAATGATTTTTCATTAGATTTGAACCCAGTTTAGTCGTTATTATTGGTTATTTAATTCAGTTACTGGGATTTTCTGCATTTTTTCCGTTTGTGTTTTAGTTTCTCGTACTTTACTACTATACGGCTTGCATACGCATATTTTTAGTTCCAGGAGATCGTTTATACTCTTTGTAGAGACGTGTTTTAGTGCCGCAGGGAGACGTAGGAGATTGCTTGTAAATCCATTTTGCCGGCACATTGTGCGAACTACGCGTCTTTTACGAAACATTTTAAACACGATTGTCTTGAAATTCCCATTTAAATTTATATGAACCTAACTCTTTGTGGATCTTTCTGGGTGATATTAAAACATAACGACTGTAACACAGCGGGGTAGGTAGTACAAAATGGCCAACAAAATAATGTTATATTTACTGTAATCTCACTAACATTATAAATGCGAAAGTTTAGATGGATGTTAGAGTTTGTAGCCTAAACGGCTGAACAGATTTTGGTGAAATTCGGTATGGATGCAGAGGATAACCTAGAACAAATAGGCTACTCACTTTTGTTTTTTAAATCCACGCGGAAGATTTCGCGGGCGAAAGCTAGTTGGTATTTACAGTAAATGTTTTAACATTGTTTTCTTTAGGTGTTTTAATTTTTGGTATTATTTCGGGTTTAAATAAAAAAAAACATTTATCAGTTACTATAAATTTAATAGTAATTTATTTTAACATAACAAAGTTTTGGTTCAAAAAATAATTATATGTGTTGATTACAAACTATTGTAAGTAAATATTTACTTTTAATAATGTCAGAATTAACTGTGATTAACTTAAACGGGCACTTTTAAGTTGGAAATAAGTAAACTGTGATTTTCAGGAAAAGCTATCTATTTATACAAATCAATGGCCCCACTACACTTAAAGTTGTGCCGCCAATATATCGATGGTCCATACGTAGAGTACTGTAAGCCAAAATCTTGAGATTTCCACCTTTTTATGTTCTTCAAATTAAATTCTGCGTAAATATGAATGTAACGTTAAAAAGAACTATATAAAAAAAAAAATTCGGGTGTTATGAGTTATTAATAATAACAATGTTTAAATTATTATCTTGCAAAATTTGAGTTTCAAACATACCGTAGTTTACGTAGGAGCCATCGATATATGACTTAAATAATCCAATTATAACTAATAGGTACTTTTAATTACATATCTTAAAAAATTAACAACTTGTAAAAAAATAACAATTCTAGTATAATAACTTACGTAATAAGATATATCGAAGTTAGAGATTCTATTTTTAATAACAAAAAATAAATTACAATTGTATTGAAATAAAGTATTTTAAACTAGAATTAACCAAGACTTTATATTATCGTTAATACGTAACAATATTGAAAACAAGGAGAACGTTAGTTATGAGTGTGGTACACCGGTAGGTAGACATAGAAAGAGATGGATTGCGTGAAAGGAGACATGATCAAGAAGAGAGTGACTGATGACGTATGATAGAGTTATTTGGAGGACAAAAACCTGTTATGCCGACCTTACGGTAGAATAAGGAATAATGATGCTATTGAAAACATAACGTTTACATAAAAGAATATTTACAAACACACAAAACAATCGCAGATTTTACATATATTTGAATTTTCAGATATGTGCAAATATCACGATGTTTTCTTTCACCGTAAGAACTTATGATAAATGTATAAAAAAAACATTACGATGACCCTAACGTAATATTTCGTAAGACACAATATAGCGATTTAAACATTTTTTTTTTTTACAAAAACATTAGATTTTTGTAAATTTACTAATATTTCCTTTAACCATTCCAACTAAGCTCTTGTGTAGTGCTAGGATATAGTTTACAATAGTGGAATGGCGGGCTTCGAATCCTCGAGCGCAAGATCGCTAGTCCGTACCACAAACCATTAGGCAATTGGCGCTTAAACATTGTTTTATATTTATCAAATCCACTTAATAAATAACTTCTGCGTAGATTTAAAAGTAAAATTAGAAACATTTTGATTATTTATACGTAAATATTTGTAGTATATTAATAGAAGTAATGATTATATATTCGTTTTGCATTTGAGTTTTACACTTACGATATTTTACGTAGGAGCCATAGATTGGTTGACAGGTCGAACGTGGACTCAAAAATTACTTTTTACAGATCCTACACTATACTATTACAGCGAAATCGCTTTTACTTCTTTAGTCTAATATAAGAAAAAGTTTAACATTGAAAATCTTAATTATTTACGGCTTACTCATACTTTTCTTTTTCCGGTGACGGCACCAACCAGTTTCAGACCCTGCGGGGGTCCTTCTTCAGGGCGAGGGTTAAGGTGCGAGGCGCGACGCGACCGCGATACATCCTTAACCCTCGCCCTGAAGAAGGACCCCCGCAGGGTCTGAAACTGGTCGGTGCCGTCACCGGAAAAAGAAAAGTATACGTGAGTAAGCCGTAAATAATTAATTATAAAATGTCTAACGAAAGTTTAAATAATTTAATTGAAAATCTTATTTATTCTATATAACTTCAACTTGTATCTGATTGTAAAAAACTTAATATCTCAAAAAAACACAAACTTATTAAAGTACACTTCACTATAAGGGTTGGTTTCCATTGTCAATAAATATCAGTTACCACTTATGTCTACTTAGTGGCCAAATAAATGAATTCTTGAGGTTATTTAATGATTGTAAGGAATCATAATGGGTAACATCTTTGGGTAATAACTTGAGGGGTGCGTCCTCTAACACTAAGTTATGGAACTCATCTAAACTCGACAATGCTGTTATTACCTGGTAAAAAAAATATAGAAGAATTTCTTACAAATATTTATTATAATTATGGCTATAAACCTACAA